GAAACTCGATCCCAACTTAATGATAGATTTGGCTAGGTTTGTTTGATATCTTATAAAAAGAGTCTGTTAGAGCGTATGGGCCAAATAAATAAAAGGAGATCATTAATATATATACTCTCATTAGTATATCATATAACTATAGATGCTTGTTCTTGTCCAACAATCTAAAGAATAGCAAAGAGGTCAGGAGATGAATGATGGAAAAGTGCTTCTGGGCAATGCAAGCTTTAATCCACTTTAATGTCATATAAATATCAAATTTTAAAAGTAGTTTGTGTTGTGTGTGTGTAAAGTTAAATTATAGCCTCTGAGGCATGTAAAGTTCTACATAAGCATTTTTAGCAACAATGTCATCATAAGAAAAAACAGAGATTTAAAGTTTGAATTGGAGGTTGAATTGGTATAAATAATGCAACATATGAAACAGATTAAAGATAATTCTCACTAGGTTTAGTAAATATGTTCTGTCAAGACTATAACATACTCATCAATGAAGCTCAAAAATATAGTGAGATTGAGGAATATGAATTTTGTACATGAGATGGTGGAAATATTTGACTAAAAATTTTGGAAAATCACAATGAATCAATTTCAACTTAAGTTTTATTCCCTTGATTGAAGTCAAAATCAAGAGTCGAAAAACTTAAAAAAGTATGACCTTTTGCGATGATAAAAACCATCGCTCGTGACCTTAGATTCCTAAATGGCGAGAGTTAAATGTAGATCCAAGCAATTTATTATGATTGTTGTTGCTAAAGAGCCTTATGGCTGACAACATAAACATCTTATTCATAGTTATCAATAAAATTTAAAGATCAATAATTCTATATATCTCTTGCTCATCATCAATAAGCCTCCTATCCCCATACCTTTAATTATAGTTCAAGCATGTCTCCGCTATAGAAATACCAATTCGCTTATCAAGAAAAACCTCAAAAAACAACAGAAAAAAAAAGAACTCCTTTATTCCAACCCATGAATCAAGCCTAAAGAGAAGTTAAAAGAATAATCCAACATTTTTTAGACCATCAAATATGGCATCAAAAGTATTGAGCTATGACTGCTAGAAATAGAAGCACTCCAACTAAGCCTCAATCAACATCCTTTAGCTGATTTAACCTGGGATCTAGTTGACCCAACTTCTTAGTTGCATAGAAACATGGATCTTAATACCTATTATATAACCTTTCCCATCCTAAGTTTGAGGCAGCCTCATTTTAATGGTATGTTTGGAGTAGTAACTTATTTAAAAGCTGATGCACATTAGTTGTGATAGGAAGCTGTTGTAGATAAGCTGACTGTTTATTTGTTTCTTGTAGTTTTAAAACAGTCATGTTGCAGTTGATTTCTGAAAAAATAACAATTCTACCTTTTATTGTAATACTGCTTAAAACATAATGTAGTTGGTGTATGTTACGAGACAAGCAATCGTACAGGGAAACACTATGTCCGATCATTCTCAGCGATGAAATCCTTCAATTAATCCGCCCACCTAAATAAGTCGCAAATTTTTGTTCTTCTCATTGGATATCCGTAAAATTGTTTCTCGTAGTTATGTGGTTGTCGCGAAGTAAACATGAAACATTTTAGCCCGCAATAGCAATACAATGTTCTAGAGGTATCAAAAAATCCCCAACCCACTTGTGACCAATGTACGAGAATATCATGCAAGGAGAGCACGCTATTTTGAGTTATATTACTCAAACATCAAACACACCGCAGTTGCAATTCTCCTCCAATGTCTTTCTCTATTTGCATTGATGTAGCTAACACATAAGAATCATCGATTTAGTTACTATCATATAATTATATAAACAAATAACGCGTGTAAATAAAATTGGAGCATTAAATATAAGACGTGACAAAGAAAAAAAATGCAAATAAGCATTAAAAGTGTCCCGATAAAAAAATAAAAATCCAAAGCAACATGAATAACGGTCCATGGAAAAGCAAATATAAAATGTCCAACTTTAATGAAATGAAATTTGAGTGTTCCTCCAGTCTTTCTGGTCGCATGTAAATGACGTAAATAATGTAACCTACAATCATGGGCCATCATCATAAAAAACTCTATCCTGGTTGGGACTTCAATTAACTTTATAGAGAACAAATATGATTTGACCTCATAAATTTCTGAAATTGTCTCTAGAATTCACATAATTTGTTGAATGAATGTTGCTTATGATGGGCTAGGGTCATTGGTGCATGAAGCCACAAACTGTGAAATTCGGCTTTAAATGAAAGCATTACCGTCTTTTTTCTTTTTCACAACCCTAGGAGCTTTGATTTGTTGGTGGATTCAACTTCATTGAGGTAAGGGTTGGAGCCTTCATTGGAATCAATAGTTTGTTCAACATCCAAGTTTTCAATGATGTCAACAAATTGTCTCACTAGGGGCGAATGAATTATTATTCGTGGTCATGTCACCACCAAACAAACAGTCCAACTTCTCTTCCAGCACAAGATCAACGCCACAATATTTAAATTTTTTCACAACTAGCACCACCTACAAAGTCATAAGATATGTTGATGCATATGAAAAAATTGAAAAATTGATAAATACAATGAACGTTCATAAATGCTCACATACAATCTCTCTGCCCACCATTCCTCCGAAGCATCAATTGTTTGCTTTATCGAATCTCAACCCAAGCCCATGATCGCTTCAATTCTTTTAAGATTTTACAATCATTTTTTAGTTAATCCCATTTGTTTTTAAATTGCATCATATCGTACTCACTGCTTATATTTTCCTTGAAATTTTTATTGATGTTTTATCGGCCTTCCTTGCTGAAATAAGTTGGTAGTCTATTGCCATATTCGACCTTCCTAAAGCAAAGGTCGTAAAATATTATTTTTGTATTTTTATCCTACATAGAAGATGAACCAACTTTTTTTGTTTTAACCATTGTATTACTAGCAAGAAAAGAACTAATCAACATAAATATTTGCCATAAAAAAAATATTTACATCTCAAAGAGAAATAACAATGTCATAATATCATCACCACCCGAAACCCTAAATAGCCTGGAAACCACCTCCAAACCACACACTACCACCTTCATGCCCCACACTAACACATTAACACCACAACACCACCCAACACCACCTCCATACCAAACATTGACACATCACCACCTCCACGAAACACACAACCACCCTACAACACCACCTCCATACCACATATCCACATGTGCACCACCACCTCCACAACACACACCACAACATTCCACGCCACTGCACCATCCTACAACACCTCCATATCATATACCAACACATCACCACCTCCACAACACACACCATCACATCCGCACCACACCACCTCCATACCGCACACCACCGCATCCACATTAACACATCCCAATCCATCATTTTGGGAAATCATTGCAATCACCACGACCACCAACAAGTTCAGTATAGCACTACCACATAAACCATTTGTATTTCAATTAATTTCCACATGCAATCACCACCAACCCCAAATTTCGGGCAACAACAAACATCACAGCACAACCATCCAAATCCATCAACCGAACAACAAACAGGAAAGAAAGACAATCAAACCAAAAGTATAACAGAGAGCCTAATAAAATTGCAAAATCCAACAACACAAAACAACCAGATAAAACATAAAGAGCAAAAATTCCAAATTCCAACATCATTAGTACAGATAACTCAAAGAAATCCCAAATTCCAGCATCAAGAGACAACTAACCGAAAACATCACAACACAACAGAGAATCAAAAATTTGAACTAAAAATCAAAATATCTCAATAGAAGGTTATAGAGAGTACCGTGGGGGCAACAGAGAGCTAATGATCCAAACCCAGTCGTACAATAGGGAGGAAAGTGAGAGATATCAGGAAAGAGAAGCTTACCGCAACAACCACCAACCAAAGACCCAGACCACAATGAAGAATAGAGGGGAGAGGGAGAGGAGAAGAAAAAGAAACCAAACCCTAGCCACGGATCGAAGAGAATCGAGAGATTCTATGTGAGTTTAGAGCAAAAATGATAAGAGATGAAAAGGGAAAGCCACTCAAGAGAGATAAGGTTGTAAACATATCGTGAAAAAACGCAAGCCGCAGGGTCAAACCTGCGGTCCTTGTTTCAAATCGTTTTCCCATAAGCACGACCACACCGCAATTTCCAAACGCTCCATGTTGCGTTTTCATGCCGCACAACAGCATATAAGCCACGCCAAATGGACTGTAAATCTTAATTCTGCCACTTGATAGAGATGACACTTATGATTTTCATACATGCCACACAGCAAGTACATAATTACATCTCTAATACAAGCTTTCATATTTATTTAATTACAATTGAGTGTCTCAAACCTATGCATGAAAATATATATTGTGCATTTTAAAAATTAGTAATAGTGATATTTTTTTATTAAATATTAAAGATTTGAGTGTTATGAATGTAAATATGAATGTTCAGGCATCAGACATGTAAATACATGAGAGTTGTAAATGCCTCACAAATATACTCACAAAATTCATTGATATCAAGATTAGCATGAAAAGGCATTTTTCCAGGAAAAAAATCAAACACCAGTAAGGCAGGATTGCATCAAATAGGATCATAGGCAGAGATCAAACACAAGGCAGGATTGCATCAAATAGGATCATAGGCAGAGGATGCTTTAAATTTCCATACAATCACAAAAAAAAAAAAGGACTCTTTAATGTTTTTGTTTGAATTCACACTAATAGCAGTCTAAAAAAAGTAGTAGTTTTACCTCAATCCATCATTGAAGACTGTTTTGACAGAACTTAGAGAAAGCAGCAATGGCAATGGTTGAATTTGAACCATATTACTACAGGCAGCAGCTCTTTCAAAAGGGTTATGGCCAACATTTGATAACAAGAAGGGGCATTTGCATACATACCATACAATTCGTATATATTTACATACTAACATCTAAACTTTAATATTTACATTCATAGCAATCGTATCCTTAACAACACATCAAAAATACTGCTTTACTAACTTTTTAAAAGTCAAATGTACCTTTTTGTATATATAGGCTTATAGCACCAAAGTGTTATAAATATAAACAACAAATATTAGGTGTCAGACATGTAAATCCATAAGAATTGCGTGGTAGATATGTAAATTTCTCCAACAAGAGTAGTAACAGATGCCGCTTACCATCTTTCTCAAAGGCTTTTCCTTCATCATCAATCAGGAGTCAACTTAATTACCATCTTGCCAAGAATTTGAGAAAAATTTGTACTTTTGACATATGCAGTTAACTCTTAAACTTTCATGATATTTCACTCATCACCTTTCTACAATAAGATAAGCAATTCGAAAGAATAGTCTTGTAAAACAATCTCCAATGAACTGCCAATCTCCATCTCTCCAATGACCTCAAAGCCTTCGCGGTCAATAAGCTCTCCCTCTGCAAACCATTGGCCTCAATGAAGCCTGCAAATTCTTCATGGCTAAAGGCCGACTCCAGCCTATCAAAACAAGCACCAAAATCAACAACTTCGTTGATAATAGAAAGCAACGAGGCATCATCCTCTATCTTAGTTGGCAATTCATCCAGAACCACACAGCAGTGGTTCACCAATTTTGTCATCGCAAGCGCTTCATTTTCATTAGAGAGAAAAAATCCAGCAAAAGCTCGATGCCCGAGTGCTCTTCGCAGGTTCCTGGGAGTTGAATCTAAACGCAGAGAGCACAAGAGAGCGAAGGAAGGTTTTCCATCTGGCTGGATGTAAAGTAAGTCCTTGGACCAAGCGTCGGAAATATTAGAATCTATATCAAGGTGCAAAAATGCCTTGTCATTGGGGTTGGATGAGAGGAGAAAGCCATAGTGCTCTAGGAGGTCCAAATTGGAGTAAGTTCCATAACTTAGAAGAACCTGTAAAAAAGTTCAGAGTCAACACTACAATGAAGAAAAAAGATAAAAGAATTCATTCAAGTTAGATTTTGGTGTTAGATATATAAATACATAGGAATCGCATCACGTGCACGTAAACCTCCCTTTTCTTTTTTTACATGGGTGTCGAAGAATAGATTGTATTATAGTGATAAGTTTTGTAACAAATGAACAATGTTGTTAAAATACCAAGCAACAAACTCTAATGGGATTAGCAAATCAGCCTCATCAACTATTATGCTAGAGACATCTAGCCTGTGTTGATCTTGATATAAGGTCCACAACTCAATACAGTCAAACATGATGTCAGATATAAATAAAAGATGCAGGTTTGAATAAGTTGAATTTATGAGGTGTTAATTGCAATTAAGAATTGGTTTAAGGCAACTGCAACTTTTTTAAAAAATGATTGTAAAGTTGTGGTGAAGAAAATAACTTCTTAAAAAACTGAAGTTGGAACAATAAATATATTTTTCACAAAAAAATTAGACAGTATATTTCTTATAGCTACCGAACTTTACCAGACAGCAAATTAGAAAGTATATTTCTTACAGGTTGAAAAAAAATAGTTTTCCATCACAAGAATTTCTAGAAAGCAAAAATAAAGCATTTTCCCAAACAAAATTGTGGTGGCGGCCTGAAACACAAAACAGACAGGAAAGCTGACCCAAACAAACCCTAAAATGTTCTTAAATGTTGCTCATTTCGTAATACAGATTACACCAGTACCTCCAAAATGTCAAAATTACCGCTGGAAGGCCCCCGGAATTGATTTGATCAAGTACAAAAAAATGGAGGCTAATTAACTAGTTTCTTTTAAGGCTAATGCAAAATGCTTTAAACGTATAGAAAATTACTCAACCGTAACCCACTTTACAAAATTGATCACATTAACGTGTCCATAATATCAAAATCACCTAAAACAACCCAATAATGCCCAAATCACGATTAAAAAAAAAAAATAAAGCATGTGAATTGAGGTTGAGACGAAAATAAGTCATACACAAATAATAAGAATTCAAGAAGAAGAATAAATACACAAACTCTACTTAAAGAAAATCAATGACAAAAAAGAATCAGCACCGTCATAAAAATCAAATGGAGTCTACCATAAGAAAGTTAACAATCCTATCTAACTTTAACATTCACGATTGTGATCAATTTCAATTATTTGAAATGAGAATTAAAATTATTATCTAAAATTATATTAAAAGCTCAATTAAAATTAGATTGGGTCAAATAAGCATTCAAGTTTGAAAATCCTTCCAGCAATAGAATGAAGCTTGCATAACAATGTCCATGCCTATTCAATTACTTGTGCATAATTAAACTCTATCATTCAAATTTTCTGATGATGCCTACGTTTATAGAAAATCTTCTTAGACAATGTAACCAATAACTGCCAATAAAGATTTGATGAACTGCCTCATCGGATTAAATAGACAAACACCAACAACATAAGATCTTAATAAGGCCATTGTCATTCCCCGACAGTTTGCACTAAGCTAAATATGATAAATTTACTCTTTTCAAAATCAAAATGCTGCTATTACAAGCTAATCATTTAGCGACTAATGACTAACCTTAATCAAGGGTTATCTTTCATCGTCGATAGAGATGATTAACCATAAAGAACTATGCCTATGGAAAACCTGAAACCACGTTATAAAATCATTGCAAAATAAGAGCAAAATATTTGGCTAGTATCTTATTTAAGATCAAATATATCTCCTAAAAGTTATCCCAATGTTACAAACTCCATCAGAAAAGCCAATTGCAGACTTTCGGAGCCTCTGTAAGCTCACAGTGTCTCCAAGACACCCGCGCAAAACCCATATATGGAATCTCAGGCTCATAAATAAAGACCATACTCACCCCAACCATCTAGTAGAGTGCATGAAAATTGCAACCAAACATATTGATCGAGTATTGAAGTGGATGCACAACATATAAGTGTTATGGAACCTCTTAACGCAAGAATGTAGAGACAGAAGACTTGTGGGACTAGAAAGTTATTTAGTAGGTGCCTTTATGTAGAGCTTTAGGGTTTTCTACATGGAAAGGATTTCTATACATTTAAGGGTTTTGTGAGATTTCTTATGTGAAAAAATTTCATGAATGTAAAAATTTAATATTTTCAAAAATTCATGCAAAAATATGAGATTCTATGGAAACCAATAAAGAAACATGCAAGCTTGTTAATGATTACATCAAAAGGATAGAGACAAAAGCAATGCAATAATGCCTCCCCAAACCCTAATTGGGATTTCTCTCATGCAAAACTTCCTCGATATCCCAGCCATTGTGAGCTTTGAGAGAGGCAGATTCCTTCGTAAAAGCCAAGAGGAAATAAAAGGAGTTCTGTTTAGGAACCTTATGAATCAAGCCAAGGGAAAAATTTTATGTTCGGACTCCGAACGTAGCTCTACGTGCGGACTCCAAATAATATACCATCATGCATGCTATATCGGAATATTAAAGTGGAACCGCAGACTCTGTAATAACCCAAAAATATCCTCGAAATAACCTTCGTAGTTCAATAACCCCAAAATAATCTCCCAAAATAACACCGTGAAAGTTATGTCAGGATTATTTCGGGTTTATTAAAGAGAAACTCATATATTCCAGCTCAATAACACCAAAATAACCCAGAAATAAATGAGTTTCAATTCAAAAACCTTGAAATAACCTCCGCAGCTCCACTTCAATAATCTTCGCGATGTAACACACGTGACGACAGATTATTGGAGTCCACACGTAGAGCTACATAAAGAGTCCAGACAGAAAATTTTTCCCAAGCCAAGAGAGTTGTTGAAAATGGCTAGAGATATGTATCTTTGATCCGCTAGTAGGTTGAGATTTGCTGAGAGAAATGGAGGGGAGACACGCATTCTTAGCCCAATTATTTACTGAGAGAAATGGAGGTGAGACATCATATATCACAAAATTATTCAATAATATAGATAGAGAATTTGAGGAATATTATCTTTGCATCAAGCTTAAAGATAACATCCTTAGCCCTCTTATTTACATAATCATAGGAACCAATTTAAATTCCAAATAAATTCAAAATGAAAAAAAAAAACTAATAAAATTTTACCTAGATAGGGACATTTATCCAAACCCCAACAAGCATTCAAAATAAATGAAATTAAACAGGGTTCAAAATATCCTACTCTGTTGATGCAATGTGCTATTACAAGCATCTCCTTCGCTCCTAAATTCACCAAAAAACCTTTAGAAGTTCCTCAATCCACTAAAAGTTTTTAGAAAGTTTTAAAACTCTTTAGAATTTTGATAGTTCCAATCCAAAGAGAAAAGAGATGAACTCATAGTTAGATATCCTTGTTTTCTCTTTTTCTCTCCTAATTAAGCTTTGGCGAAGAGCTCGATGACCATATTGCCAGCATTTCTTATAATGCCCACTATCAAAAAGTAGTAATAACCTTCCTCAACAAAAATTGAAACCTACTTTTCCTATCCCTCGCAACTTTTTGATAATTTATTATCATGATCCATTTGGTAGATCATGAAGCTAGCACACCCATAATCTTCAAAGCCTTCTTTAGAACTAAGAAATAACTTCACTAAAATAAAGGAGCATTCACATACATGCAACACAATTCCTATATAGCTTATATATCTAACACCTAAACTTTACTTTTTACACTTATACCACCTAAATCTTTCATATCACATCAAAACTATCACTACTGTAATCACTACTGTAACTTTTAAAAAGTGAAATACACCTCTTCAAGCATAGGTAAGGTGGCATGTTTGTAAAAGTTTAAGTTTGGATTTTAGATATGTAAATACATATAAATTGACTGGTATGTTTGTAAATCTTCCTAAAATAAAATAAGATGAGCAAATAATTTCACATCGCTTCTTGAACATAACAAACTATGCAATTGATTTATATAGATCTAGATATGACAAACAAATTATACTAACTATAAGCTAATGACTAAGTTTTAATGTCACTGACAGACTATCTCTCAAGTCACATATACGGTCTTACTGCTCTTTCTAAGCACTAAGTCAGTTTAACACTTATAATGCTTGAACTTGAAAATATAAAAACTCTCTAGGAAAGAAATAAAGAGAGGTTATTAAAAGAAAGGAAACTTCACTAAGGAATGAGCGATTACACACTTGGGTACTTGGGAACTCTTGGTTGATTCAAATGTGTGTGTGTGTGTGTGTGTGTGTGAGAGAGAGAGAGAGAGAGAGAGAGAGAGAGAGAGAGACCTCTATTTTTGTCCTCCCTCAAATCCTAGAGAATATTCTAGATTACATTATGAATATGTTATCTTCTAGACAATTCTATATTATTCTATATATATACATGATTCTATAGCTTTCCAGGATATTCTACAATTCTCTTGAAGCTTGCCTCTTTCAGTATATTTCTAAAATGTGGCAGAACCTTCTAAAATTCATTAGATTATTCTTTTTCTTTCTAGTTTTCTCTAGAATGTTCTTTTCATGGCTTAAGGAGTGTGGCTAACCCTTTCTTGAGATAGCAGTGCGCGACACTCCCCCACTTAAGCTCGCAATGCCATCATTGCGTCTTACTCTTGATATTATTATATATTTTCTTTTCCAAATTGTGTCTTAATGTTCTCAATTGGTTTCACTGTCAGGTAGCATTTCTACTTAATGAGAAACTTCTTATAGTTTGGTACACCCCCCCCCCCCCCCCCCTGATTTGATCAGCAAGTTTTCATCCACCTTATCTAAAGAAGTGATTATTGCTCTTCGTGCTTGCTTAGGGTTTCCTCTTGACGGATTTTCCTTTTTACACTAAAAATGTTTCCTTTTATCGGTCACCCACTTCTTTGTCCTTCTTGTAGTCTTAAGCAGTGGTGCTCTGACCAACTTCTTTTATTTGCTACCAGACTTTACAAACTTGAAAGCTATTGGGTTTTTTTACTCATAGTTGGTTGTTAGGGAGAGAAGTGTCATATAATGAGATT